CTGCTGTTACCTCTCCTAGCCTAGAACGCTGCCCCGCAGAGATGCCTCTCGCTATGAGGGGATCCGAAGAGGAGACGAGCAGCGACTCCGAGGAGGAGGAGACGGACGCGGCGCTGGAAGCGTCGCTGCCGCCGCCGCCGCCGACGCCGGCGCCGAACCCGGCCGGCGGGCGGCCGCGCACGGCGCCCGTCGTCGTCGCCCATCCGCCGGCGCCGCCGACGCCGGACCACCCGGTGCCCATCGTGCCGCCGCCCGTCGTGAGCATGGACCCGACGCCGGAGACCATCGTCATCCAGACGCCGAGCTACATGGAGGCGACGCGCGCCGCCGTCATGGCCCTCGCGACGCCGCCGCCGCCGAGGCCCGCCGAGGACGAGCTCGCGTCGAGCCTCCGGTCCGCCGCGGGCGCGGCGTCGCCCGTCGGCGCGGAGCCGCCCGACGTCGCGGGCGTCGTCGAGCGCAAGGTCGAGGACCGCGACCCCTGGACCGACGGGGCCAACGACGCCGCGGAGGAGCTCCTGGCGGCGATCACCGACAAGGTCGAGATCGCGGAGGACGACGTCGCCGCGCTCGACGTCGCGACGCTGGACCGGGCCTACATGGTCCAGGACTGCATCCGGAAGTACGCGCCCTGCGCCGGCTGGAAGATCGGCAACGCGACCGCGAGCCCGTCGGACGTCTACGTCCGCGCGGGCCTCGCGCCGCTCGTCGCGCCCGTGCTCAGGTCCGCCGTCGTGCTGGCCAAGAAGGGCAGGTGCCGCCTGCCCCACCCGGCGGCCGTCTTCCTCGACGCGGGCCCGGACAAGGAGTGCGGCGTCGAGGCCGAGTGGTGCTTCCGCCTGGGCTGCGACCTCGTCGCGCGGAAGGACGGGTCCGACATCGCGCCCGAGTGGGCCGCGATGGCGGTCCAGTCCATCTACCCGGCCGTCGAGGTCGTCGCGAGCCGCGTCCGCGGCGCGACCTTCGCGCGGATCGGCGACCCGGAGGCGCCCTGGCCGCCGCCCTACGTCGTCGCCGCGGACCTCGGCCTGAACCACGCGTGCGTGCTCGGGCCGCCCGTCTTCCTGTGCTGCGACCTGCTCAACACGATCCCCGTGGCCCTGAGCGTCAACGGCGGCAAGCCCTGCGCCGCGGGCAAGGCCGGGAACGCCGTGATGCCCCCCGACGGGCCCCTGGGCGCGCTGGCCTGGCTCGCGAACCACCTCCTCGCGCGCGGCGACCACCTCCGCAAGGGCGACCTCGTCATGTCGGGCGCGACCTGCGGCCTGACCAAGGTCCACCCGGGCGACACGGTCGTCGCGTCCTTCGACACGACGATCCAGATGGGCGCCGTCGCCACCGTCGAGGTCCACATGCTCGCGGAGTAGGCGGGCTTAGTACAGCACGTTCTCGGGCACGGGCGCGCCGCGCGGCCGCCGCGTCTCCGCGCGCGTCTCGCTGCCCCAGAGGCCCCGCTCGTAGCCCCGGTCCCACCACGCGCCGTCGTCCGTCGGCGGCCAGACGTGGACGAAGGTCGCCCACGCGTCGGGGCAGGCCGAGTTCACGCGGAAGTGCCTCGGCGCGGGCGGATCCGCCGCGGGCGCCGCGGCCGCGCTCGCGAAGCGCCCCGTCTTCCTCGCGGCGCGCGTCTCGAGGACCTGGGCCCGGGCCTCGAGGCGCCGCTCCCGCCGCCGTCGCGCGGCGTAGTTCGCGCTCTTCCGCAGCCAGGCCTCGCGGCGCTGCTGCTCGAGGGCGACCTCCGCGTCCTCCGCCTCGAGCACGCCGTCGCAGGCGAGTGCCGCGTGTGTCTCCGCGGTTTCATGGAGAGCTGCACGTGCACGCGACCA